TGTTTTTTTTTTGAATTTAATAAGATCAGTCCTCCATCTTTCAGATTTAATCAAGTTAGTCCCTTAACCTTATATTTTTGTTATTGTGCATGCATGTCTTTGATTTAGTCCATTTTAGTCCAAAAAATTAAAAAATGTTTCAATTTGGTTTATTCCTTTTTTTTTAAGTTTTCCTATTAAGACTCAAACATAAACATGATGAATCAATTGAATCAAAAACCTCAATGTTAAAGTATGCAACCGTGTTTAAACGGAGGATTGTGAGGTGCGTGTATGCCCTTCCTCACTTCTAATCGAATCCCCGAACTCCGATTTCTGCACAGACTTATTTTTGGTGATTTGTCCCATCTTATAATTTAGATGAGTGGCGACTCCCTCATTTTTATATTTTTCACACTTGATTTTTCAATTTATTTTGAAAAAAATCTTAAGTGGTCATCAACAGTGGCATTGTCAATTCCCAAAACTTTGATAATTTTAGAGAATTGGGTTTTGACCATGATAACAAAATCAGTATAAATTTGTGGTAACTTAGAATGATTTTTCATAAGATATATTCAGGTAAAACAAGTATAATCATCAATAAATAACACAAAGTACCTGGAATCCCCCATGTAGGTGTCAAAGATGGACCCCAAATATCAGAATGCACAAGATCAAAAGAAGTAGTAGAAAGAGAATGACTATTGGAAAAAAGATAAAGTTGGTTGTTTTGCAAATTGACGTGACACACAATGCAAGGATTCATTCAGAACAAATCTTAATAGACCACTAGAGATAAGAGAACAGAGTTTATCGACTGAGGTATCTTCAAGTCGTGACTGCCATAAATGAAGAGGAGAAATGTTAGTAGCAGCACAGGCTTGGAAGATTTGTTGATATGGAATTTGCAAAGACTCTAATTCAATAGCACAAGGTAGGGTTTAGATGAATTGGTCATTTGGAAATGATGGTGTATCCATTTTATTATGAGGAGTATGCAGATAATTGAGCTCAAATAAATGCCCCACCTTACGACCAGTTTCGAAAAGTTATCCTATTTGTGGGTCTTGTACACGACTACCATGAGTAGAAAATATTACTTCAAAACCAAGATCACACAATTGACCAACAGATAAAAGATTATAACCAAGTTTTGGAACCAATAAAGCGATTGGTAAAGTCAATGAATTTGTAGAAATATTATCAATGTGACTAACATTCATAGGGGAGTCATCAACAAAATAAATGTCAAGAAAGGAATTATTTGGTGACATTGAAGAGAAATGAGCAGTAGTTGAAGACATGTGATTATAACAACCAGAATCAAAATACCAAAGTTTAGTACCTGGAGCAGCAAATAAAACAGTAGGAACATTAAAAAGATTTAATATTACTTGTATTATAGATTCAAGGTTGACAATAAATTGGTCTATTGCTTTCTTGGCAACCATTGCAATAGTAGGATGAGTTAGTTCTTTCAAAATTTGTCATAAAATCAGTAGAACTCACAATACCGAAAAAGTCTCTAAAAATATGAAGAAATAGATGCCAAAATCGTAATAACAACTCAATAAAATACCTTTGAAAGGGTTTGAAAATTAAGAATAAACAACCCAAAATGTAGGAGAAGAGAACCCAATGACAAAGTTTCAAATTTGGAATAAATCTGAAAATCCAACTCAAAAACCAAGTAGTGATGATAAAAAATGAAAAACTAGGAGTTTATAGCTATGATACCATGTTAGCAACAGAAAAGAAGGAAAAATATTTAAAGAAAAGTTTATTATTTTCTTGAATAATATTATATGTACAATGACTTATATATAAGTGTTTACAAAGAAAATATTTTAAAGTATAAATTATTCAAATAGTAACTCTAAAAAAATTTGACATAATATCACTGGAAGAAGCAGCATCACGCCCATATAAATGCTGATGAAAGTCATGAAAGCACTCTTGAGGTATGCGAAATACAAACCGAACTGCACAATTGCATAGACGATGACTGGAAGGAATGCAGCGGCGTATGTCAGACCCGTTGTCCATGCCTTATCCAAATGAAAGGTGAGGATAACTGCGGTTGTGAAGCAAAACACGGTGGCTGCAATGGCAAAGGACAGAAAAAGGAAGCCAGCCGATAGTTTCGAGGTTATTTGATAGTGAAAATCTTCCAGCTCAAGTGACGAGGTGAGCACTGAAAGGAAGAGCACCACCGACGTTAATGAGCTCGCCAGTCCGGCCACGTCCATCACAGTGAAACAAGAGTACAGAGGCTCGTTCGCAAGGACTGCCGTTCCGGCAGTGGCATTTACCTTACCGTCTTTTGCGTCGTCATATCCTTAAAACAATTCAAAGAAAAAAAAGAATTTGATATGGCAGCTTGTTAATGACAAATTAGATCCTTTTTTCCTTTGTGAGTAGAAGAAAAAAAGGTTAGTTAATTACCTATGAAACCACCTGGGACGGAGAAGGCGGCAGCGAAGAGAACCGTGGCGACTAGGACTACCACAGTGGAGCATGACTGACAAGTGTTCTTGACCCAGTCTTGGGCCTCTTTCAGTTGTTCTTTGTATTGGTCTTCTAACAGTTGCTTCGCCGTAAGATTCTGCTTGTTGCGATGGAATGTGTAATGAGGAGGAACCATTTTTTCCACCTCCTGCAAAATCACAAGAAGAATTCACAATTCTTGAAGAAATATTCAATTCAATTGTTAGAAGTCTGCTTGATTTGAAAGAACTGAAACAATATTATTTTAAACAATCAAAATTTTTTAAATGGTTGTGTTTGGTAGATTAATAGTTATTTACTTGATATTATAAAAATTTATTTTATTAACTTTGAATACAAATCATAATTTTTTAATAAATGGATTCTAATTTTTTAGTAATTTTTTTTAAATAATTGAAATAGGCTTTCCTTCACCCTCTTCTCTCCCCCACTTCTATTTAACTCTCTATAAAACCGGATAGACTCTAAAAACCAAACAGACCCTAAATGTTAGTTAATGAATTTCGAGAAACAATTGATCAAGGCTTACTCTGAACCATCTCAGCCCCTCTTGCAGTTTCAGAGCCGCAGTCGATTTGGTTCCTCCGCTGTAGTATTTTGTACAGGCGGCTTTGTGCAGAATGGTGTCACCGTTATCGTCGATCCCCAAAGCCAGCCTCCGCTGTACCACTTCCCTCTTCGACTTGATGAGATCAAGGATGTCGTCACAGTGTAGAATGGCAACGTGCAGAATATTCTGTCCACGCCTGCTAACATGCTCCAGTGCTTGAGGATACACGTTGATAATTTCGGCCACAATCTCCTTGATCCCTGTCCTGGCGGCAATAATCAATGGAGCATCCGGCCGTGCCTCAGTGGTGGCGGCGGTGCCAACACATATGGCTAGGGACGACGGCTCCCCTGTTTCTTCGTCTCCTGAAAAACAAACAATGTTGTTGTGCCCTTCTTTGTTGTAGTGCTCACGCCACGAGCAAGAATCCATCTTTATCAGAATCTTGGCCAAGTCAACTGCAAATCGATGCTTCCTTTTTGTTTTCCAAATTTCCTTAATAAAATTCCATCCTGAAAAGAAAAAAATTCTAATTAGAAATTCATAGTTAATTATTTTAACTAATTAATCAAATTATTTTTGTTAACACAATGATTGGTCACTTCTCCCTCCTTTTTCACAAACCAAATAAGTAATTAAGAAAAATAAGGAAATTATTAGGGTGCGTACTTTCAGCTAGATGCAGCCAAAGATCATCAAACTTGGGTAGACCTGCATTAAGCAAAATTTTGCAATTTCAATTATAGTTGCAACTCACTTGACTAGAAGCATAAATGCTCGAAATTGATACATACGTATATTCTTTATCATTGTTAGACAGCGTATGCTACTCTTACTGCTCTGACTTGGTACATCCTGTTCAATTTCATCTCTATAGACTAAGTTGTCTGGAATATCTGAAAACAAAAACGCCAAAACGCCAGATCGAGTCAGTGGTACTAGAATTAATGTGTTTTTTTTGCCAGTATGATTGTAGTTTGCAATGAACTTACATCTATATATAATCTCCAATCCATACATTATGGAAGAAGAACTTTTGAAAGCATTCGGCATGCTAGCGAGAATCTGAAGACCTGTCTTCCCACGATGTTTCCTTGTCGCCAGCTCTGGATCTTTGTCTAGTAACCAAATAGCTGTCACTGCATTTAAAAGACAATTCTCATGCATTTCTCAAATGAAAAGAAAAAATGTGTTTTGTAGTTGAAATTGCCTTAACTGTTAAACTACAATCTCTTGCTCAATGGGGCCCCTTGGTAGTTGGGTTTCAGGACTCAAACCCAGCTAATTGTAGTTCGGATTGCAAATCACCAATCTCTTTCCTAACTCAGTGATTAATTTAAAATTAAATCAAATGATCAGTACGTACCGAATTTTTCATTCATGATAGCAATATGAAGAATGGAGAGGCCATCAGATGCTCTTGTGAAGTGATCATCTTTCAGATTTCCATTTTGAAGTTCCACCTCATTTACTAAGTACTCCACTGTTGCTTTATTGCCAAATGCCGCAGCCCTGAATAGCGCCGTCTCCCCTAAATTATTGCGGTCCATCAGCATACTCGCTCGTCCTTCATGTCCAATCTCATCAACCAAGAATTTTGCTGCCTCAACATTGTTGCTCATGACCACCTCGTGGAGAAGGGTGTTGCCATGACTATTCTTCATCGTGAACACTTCACGTTTTCTGGGCATTGCAACCATACCGAGGAGATCGCCAAGCAGATCTATGCTTCCCATGTATGCTGCAATGTGGAAAACAGTATCTCCGCAAGGAGTGAGGTGATAGAATAAAGTACAATGTTTGGTCTGATACAGTGTTTTAATGTATTCCCGGTCATTTTCCAAGGCCTTTACATAAGGCTCCCTCATTTCCTCAACACGTTCATCTATAGCCACAGCTACTTCCGTTGTCATCTCTCCTCTTCTTTTTTCAATCTGCTAATTTGATAAATAGTTTTTTCTTAAGCTGCTTTAATTTGATGTCGATTCCTGGTTTTATGGTCTGCAACAGCTTGAAAGAGTAGTGAAAAATAATAGCATCTCAACTTTGCTGAACTAATTAATAAACTTAAAAGTTGAAAAGTTTGAAAATAAGATTATGGTAAAGAAAAAGGAAGGAATAACAAAGTTACTAGTTCTGCTAATTGCTAGAGGAAAGAAATACTTCTGTCGCTGAATCTAAATCCAAGCCAATAAGAAAAAGACACGTTAGAAACGTTTGAATTTCATGTTGAAGGGCCATGCTAAGATGTCATTTGAGATTTGCTGATACCTCAACATAAGTTGCATAAGTTTAAAAAAAAAAAAAAAAATTTCTAATGAGATATCCCTATAATACAATAAAATTTCTCTCCATACTAAGAACAAAACATAGTTCAATCAATCTATAAAATTAAATTTTAGCTGTTTTAGTTAAAGATTCATGTTGAAGTATCATTTGAACTATAATAATACCTCAACATGAGATGTAGAAGTTTCTAGGGTGAAGTAGTCAACAATGCAATATATTTGATTAATTGGTTGCCCTCAATTCCTCTGAACTTTGACATCCTGGAGAAAATCTAGACAAGATGAGATGTTGGATCTCTCATTTAAGCGTTTAGGTGCAAAGCATTTATGCATGTGCCAGAGGAATAAAGATCAAAGTTGGATGATAAAATCATTCCATGTATTTTTGTTGAATATGGTGATGAAGAGTTTAACTACAAATTATGGGACTAGGAATAGATGAAGACTGTTAGAAGTAGAGATATCGTGTTTCAAAAACATGAGGAAATCCAGGATTAGAGGGAGGAAAAAGCCACTAGAAGCACTTGAGAGGGTGTAGCCAATCTAAAACCAACAAAACTTCTTTAAGAGGTATTATAGATGAAGTAGATGAGCAAGGACCAAAAGACGACATAGATGAGCCAATCATCATCATCGAAGAAGAAAAACAAGTGCGGATAGAGGAAGTCACCGGCAGAGACAAGTGGGGCTTGAGGGGGCACAGGCCCCCCTAAACTTTTAAAAAAGAGAAACTTTGGTCCTTTAAGTTATATTTTTATTATTTCAATCCTTGTTTATGCTATACATTTCAATTATTTTTAACCCTTGTTTCTTCAAAGATTAGTTTTAGTGATTATAAAAATGAGGAAAATAAAGATAAAATAAAATATGATAAAAAATAAAGATTAATTGAATATAAAGTTGTTCCATATTATCTTTTTATAAAATATATAGTTGTTTATTAATACCTTTTTTTTTTGTTCATTACTACCCTTCTACTTTTGTTTTTTTTTGTTTATTAGTATTTCTCTATTTAATGTATGTATATTTTATCTTTCACTTGATGTCATATATATAATATCATATTGTCAATTAATATTAGTTTATCAATAAAAACTAACAAATGTTAATTTAAAATAATTTTTTTATTAAAATTTTTCCTTTTCGTTGACCTTTTAATTAATGTAAAGATGCATGTCTTTTTCTTAAAAAAAAATTTCATTTGGCTCTCCCTAAAAAAATTTTTTGGCTATGCTACTGGAGGAAGTGATAAGCAAGGGGAGCAATCCTTGTCACAAGGGGAAAGACCTCAGTTGAGAAGGTCTATGAGATAGCATAAATCATCTAAAAGATGCCCTAATTTTGATTATATCTGAATTATCGAAGAGGAGGAGTCGGAGAGTTTCTAAGTGGTACAGTTTCATAAAGACAAAGACTACTAAATGAAGGCTATGTACGAAGAACAAGAAAAGATTGAGTTGGTGTTGGTTGGGCATCAAATGGATCTTAGGATGTCAGGGCATCGGAGTTTGGTAGAATCTTGGTACCAATTGTAGGCGCTGGTGGCCTCTACTGGTGGTGGCTAAGGATGGTTAATGGTGCCATGGTGGTAATCGCAATGAGGATGGTCCAGGCCTTCTGGTGGGGACTTTGTGACAATGGGATGTGGGAATGGTGGGGTTATGTTTGGAAGCCAGGATGGGGGCAAGACACGTGTGGCATGATTGCATCATCAAAGGAGGTAGGGATGTGTGTTGAGGTTTAAAACTTAGATGTAAAAGCTGATTATTGGAACAATTCCAGTTACTAGAAAATTATCTTTAGTAGGGTTTTAACGTTAGTCTATTTATTCATTTTCTTATCAATTTAGTCCCTTAAGTTTGGTTTTGGGCTATTTAGTCTTAGGTCCTTTGCCTGACAAGGATAGGAGACCATGTGAGTTTCGGCATGAGGTTAATAATTCTCTCAGGTTAAGGTCACTAAGGTTTGCACTATTAGGATTTTTGTGTTCAACTTTGATTTTGCTAGTCAGGGTTAGAAGACTCCACGAGTGTGGGCCTTTACATCAACTCCCCCTTGCCCAAGTACTCGGTTTTTGGGATGAAAATTTTACCCTCATCTGATGTGTACATAACATTTTTACCCGTTATGGGTAAGGGATTTTTACCCATGGGCCGAGTAAAGGTAAAACAATTTTATCCAATAACTTTTGGTCAAAGGTAAGACAGTAAGACACCCTGACCTTACACAGCCTATTTACACAATTATTCAAAAAAATATTAAAATATTATTTCTAAAATTTTAAATTAATTAATAATACCTAAATTCTTTAATTCATTTATTTCAATTTAAGATTCTAAGACTCTATATTTCCCAGTTACTAATTTTTTTGACGGAATATTCCTTAATTATTTTAATTAAATTCTAACTTAAATTTAAATTAATTTATTTTAAAAGATAAACTTCTTAGAGCTAAATTAATTTAAACTTAAAAATTAAAAGCCTAATTTCTTAATTTATTTTCCCTTTCTTCCTCTAAAAGAAAATTAGCAACTTTCACAAAGTAATTGTGGTAAGATAAAAATTAAACACACAATCCCTTAAACTTTTTTACCTGATTAAATAACTAAATGAGAAATTAACTTGAGTTGGACTTTTTCTTAGAAAAACAATTATCTTCTTGAGTTAAATTTTTTATTTAGTATCTTTATACTATGATTTTTAGTTGTGTATATTTGAATTTTTATGTCACATTTTTCATGTAAGTTTATAGATTTATTATAATTATATTAGTATACAGTTTGAAATTTAAAAATTTTCAATTTTAAAATTATAAATTTAAGGTTTTTTTTTTTTAAAGCTAAAATGTTAAGGGGTACAAAATTACTCAATCACTTGGTAAATTACTCATTACCTCATGGGTGAGGGTAAGGATAACGTATATTTTTACTTGAAAAGAAATGGGCAAGGTGAGCATAAAAAATTACCCGATGGGCGTCGGTTAATAGGGTAATTCATTACCTGACTGATTGTCATTCCTACCTAGTTTTTGCTTTGAAGGAGTTTTCATTTGTCCCTATAACTTGAGAGATTGAGAACTTCAAAAGAAAATTGAGTTTGAATTTCTAATATTGCAACTTTTTTTTAATAGTGA